AGGGGAGGACATCCACTGCACAGTAATCTCGTGCGTGGGAAATTAACGTCTCCTACCCCTAACCCTGCAGGAGACGGGGCCTACTGTTTATTCGTCCTTATCCAAGAAGACTAGAATATCTATCCATTTTTTGATTATAGAAAGGGTCTTCCTCTCAAAATAACCGGAACATTGATGACAATAATACACGTTACTTTAAACTCCCCTTTGTTGGCTATTATTCTAAAATAGCGAACCTTAAAATCTGACAACTCACTAAGCGCTTTTGTAAATCGGACCTTAATATCAAGCTAGTTTTCACTTCTTTCAAAATTAAAAACATGTTCAGTGTTAAAGATCGTACTCCTGATGCTCTAAAATCCATGGTAGTTTATCAATTTTCTTGTGCGGGATGTAATTCCCGTTATATTGGCGAAACAAGTCGCCATTTCTCTATTAGGATAAAGGAGCACACGGAAAGCGATAAAAACTCGCATATCTTTAAGCATTTCAACACATCTTCTTGTAAGAACAAATACTCCCTTTCTTGCTTTAGTATTCTGGATTATGCTAACAACTCAGTTGAATTAAACCTCAAACAAGCTTTTTATATAAAATAAGATCAAACCTGAGCTTAACAAACAATTACAGCATTATAACACTTTTCTAGCATTTTAGTTCACACCTTCAATTTCATGTTTGGTGTCACTTTGTAACTAGTACCCACTTTTGTATTACATCATACTGTAAATATTTTATTCATCTACTTGTCTGTTATATAATTACTCACGTTCAGTTACTCATTGATTGAAGATGGCATAAGCATGCCGAAACATGTCTCTCAAAAAAGTTGTCTATTTCTTACAATATCTAACAAGCATTATTAATTGATTTTCCTTCTCAGTTGGATCTAAAGGCCCTCGGAGAAAAAGTTCAATTAATCGCAAACGAAGCAGAGGAGCTTGTTTCCAAGTTCCCTGAGGGACAGGAACATCTTACAGAACAAAGGGACGAGGTTTTGTCAACATGGCATCGCTTGCAGGAGAAAGCCAGCAGTAAAAAATCCAACTTGACCCAATCTGAGAAGCTGCAGAAGTTTTTAAATGACTTCAGAGATCTCATGTAAGTGGATTTCCTCCTTTGTTCAATCATTTGGCTCGCTACCCTTTCTTGGTTTTAGGTTTAAAAGGCAACCTAACTAGCTGACGGGAGTGAACGTTTTGGTACACATAGTGCACTATCAAGGGGGACGTTTTCTCTGTAACGGAGAGATTAAGTCACATTTCATTCTGGTTTCCAGTCTCTCTGTATCACTCCATGGGCGGGAATTAGTGAAACTCTGGGAACAAGTTTGACTTTCGACCGCTGGTTTCAGTCGTTGCCCAAACAAAAGGCTATTTCTTACAACTTTACCTTTTAAGTGGTCGTTGATCCGTGATTTATTGACATGAAGGAGCTTGTAAAAAGTATCAAAACTTATTTGCTTAGAGGAGACACTTTATCTTCCTAGGTCCTGGATCAACCATATGTCATCTGTCCTCAAAGACGACGAACAACCTGATGACGTTACGAGAGCAGAAAACTTTCTAGCTCGTCACCAGGAGCACAAGGCCGAGATAGACACGCGGCAAAAGAGTGTGAATGAATTCTTTGAAGCTGCTGATACTCTCATCGCCGACGGTCATTCAGCGTCTGCAGATGTTAAGGAAAAGAAGCAGCGGCTTCATAAGGAGTGGTTGGTGTTGCAAAACACATGGCGGGAGAGAGGCACAGAATTGGAACGAGGTAAAGAAGTGCAGGTCTTCAAACGAGATGCTGACCAATTAGAGGCTTGGCTTAATGCACGTGACCTTGATCAGGAGTCCGGTGACCTGGGCGACTCATTGGATGCTGTGGAAGAATTGATAAAGAAACACGAGGAGTTTGAGAACATGGTGCTCGCGCAGGAGATGAAGTTGTTGGGAATTATAAAACTGACTCCACAAGAGCAAGGAATACATAAACAGAAGGAAGAAGAGAAAGAGAAACGGAAGAGAGAAGAGGAAGAAGAAAGAATAGAACGGGAACTGAGGGAAAAGAAAAGACAGGAAGAATTGAGGCGAAAAGAAGAAAGTGATCGCAAAGAAAAAGAAAATAAACAACGGGAGGAAAGGGAAAAATTATGGGCTTTGGAGGAGAGAAAAAGAGCTGAAGAAAAAGCGAAATTAGAAGAGGAAATGAAGCAGGAAGCGCAAAGACAGCGGGGAATTCCAGAGGAACAAAGGATGCAAGGAAAACATAAGAACGTACGTGATCCCTACGACAAAAATCAAAACTACAAACAGTCACTTCCGGTTGGTAGTCCAAAAGATGAGCGCCAGGCTTCCTCAACGTCAGTTATTGAGGGAATCTTGCAGCGCAAACAGGAATTTGAACCGGGTGGGAAAAAGTCGTCTTCACGTGCATGGAAGACGCTGTACACTGCATTACGCGGGCACCAGCTTTTCTTTTATCACGAAAAGAAGGACTCGCAGAGTTCAAACTATTCTGCCCCTCTTATTGACGTGAGAGATGGCTTCTGCGAGGAAGCTAGCGATGCTGCCAGAAGGGGGAACGCTTTTAGAGTCCTCTGTGATGACGACTCTGACTATCTCTTTGTAGCCAAAGATCCTTCCGATCTAAACCGCTGGCTCCAATGCATTAGCGAAGCGGCTGGCCAAACTGATCTTCCCATTCCACCTCCGTCACCTCAAGGTGCACGGCCAACAAGTCCAAAGTCTCCACCACAAACCAAAAGAGTAGACGGCCCGGAGTCTTCGACGGGGATGCAACCTTACGGCCGAACTCTTAAACCATTAATCACCGTTACGAGCTTCGATGACGACGAGGACGTCCTTATCGATCCCCCTCCCCCTCCCCTTGTTAATATACCCCCTCCCTCTATTCCCTCAGACTTTTCTAACAATGATGCACCTGTAGACGCCAAGGATTTAGAGAGTCTTTCATTGGAGCCTGATGATCCCCCAACGGTGCCTCCCCCGGATTTCTCTGACTTTGACAGCCCATCCGATGACGAGCTTCCTGTTTTGCCGACATCACCTCCCCCAGAGTTTCTTTCTGACGATGAGCATGCTTTTGATAACGACTTGGAAGATTCTTCTCCTGCTTACATACCTTCATCAATGCATCATTCTGTCTCATCTCCTAAGGAGAAGACAAGACCGACCCCTCCCCCAGTGGCACCCAAGCCGGAGGGGCGCCCGCGATCAGATTCTAATGACTCGCTCCAAAAAGGTCCAAAACCTGCCATCAAACCTAAACCCACTTTTGATAGAACTCATTGGTATGGACAGCGGTCATCAGATAGTGGGCATGCTCTAAACATTGCCAGCCCTCTACGGTCAACGATACACAGCGCTGAAAGTGCGCCTGACGACAAAAGGAACGAGAAGAGGAAAGGTGTTTTGGGAAACATTTTCAAGAGGAAAAAGTAAAACATGATGGAAATCAGCTTTTGAAAATAGGAATTAGCTCTTGCAGAAGTATTGAGAGTTACTAGAAGTGAAGGGTGCATTTTTAATTTAACTGCCACACATATTCTCATTTCAACTGAATCTTTAGAGGAATTTTTAGGTTATTGTTTTGAACCAATAGTCCATTTTACAGTTGTGTGCTTGGTTCTCAAGCCTTTGAATGGGAGTGAGGCTAGGGGTGACCTTGTTATGATACAAACCCCTCTGTCTTTCAAATGTAAATCACTTTGTTATCATGCTAACTAGATACAGGTCTCTATCACAACAAGGTCACCTTCAGCCTCACTCTGAATAAAAGGCTTGGCAACTAAGTACACAACTGTAAAATGGCCTATAGAGGTTTTGCACAGCAGCCATGTTAGATGGCAGGAACAATGAAAATATTTTGCATAAGAAAGAAAAATTTTTCCTACGGGTAAAATAATTTATTGTTCCTGCCATCCAACATGGCTGCTGTGCAAAACCTCTATTTTGTAAAAACACAAGAACCAGGAGTCAAATGTTTCTATTCAAATGTAGATTTTTCAAATATTTAATTGTAAATAAATTATTTTTATGCCATTAGATAATAAACGGAGAACCTTCTAGATAATGCAATCTGTTTTGATTTCCGAAAAAAAAAAAAAGAGAAAGGTCGCTGTGCGCTGCGCTTGGTTTCTCGCCGCAATGGGCTTTGGTTGTCCTAAAGGAAGCCCTGATAACTAAGATCCAAGCAATGTTGATGTGTTAATTCTAATAGAAGCCATTTTGGATCGGATGGTTGTCACTATTATCATCAAAAAATAGTTTTTTGCTCGCCAACGTCTCAAGGGGCCGGGATTACGCCGATGATGGTGTGAACCGTATAGCATCACACAATCCAACATGGCGGCGCGCACGAACTTCATTCCCAAGCCAGCCGATATCTGTTTCAAATTTTTTAGCCCTTTGAATACTTCATTTCTTTCTATGCCATGTAACTTTGAACTTGAAGATCATCTTTGTATAGGTAATGACATGATTTCGAGTGCGATCTGGTGTTAATAAGAACGGGTAAAATTCTCAAAGTCAACAAGATAAAATTGATGGACAAATGATACTCGTGGGAAACGTTTTCTTTTAAGTTCAATATCATCAGAGATCGAGTTAATATTTTTACAATTTCAACGATACTTTCACTTCTGCTGAATTTTACTGAGTTTAAAATCTTTCCTTTTTTCAACTACAACGAAGGAAACCGAACACTAGCACTCTCTCCATGATTTTCAGCCCCGCCTTTCATTGTTAGAAACTCATTTGAATTACAAATAACTCTTAAAACATTCTTAATATTCAAGATTTGCAATCACTCTTACACGTGGAAAGAACTCTTGAAGTATAAGAACGCCCACGGTCTTTTTCAGCTACTCTGAGGCCAGGAAACACGCCATTCCAACCCTGTTACCTTGAATATCGTCTTTTCTATCAAACGCGCCTGGTGCTGGCCTCTTCGAAGTTGCTGAATCGAGTGGCTCAGTTCGGGTGGACTGATGGACGCCATTTTGTTACGACGTTTCTCAAGGTAAATATCTTAAATCTAAAACACAGTGGTCATTTTTTTCGTTGTTTTCTTAAAAAATCAAATCGTAAAGTTAAATATCAAATGGAACAGTATATTAAACTTAGTATGGTGTATTTGAAGGATAAATATGTATTCAGAAAGGCCACCATACCA